ATTTTTTAAGTGTTTATTTTTTATTTTATTGAGTTATGTGGGATTTTATTAGTTTTTTTTTTTTAAGGCTGGATCAAATGATTAATGATGATGATCAAGTGCATGCATATCTGACCATGTTTTGTTGGTTTTATACTTCATTACCATTAATTCCATATGTTATCTTTGGCTGGAAATCTTTAGAACTGGCTCTATATATGTTAGAAAAATGATAAGAGAAGAAGGTTTTGTTCCTATGTCCTCTTTAAAATACTGAGAAGGAGCTAAGAACTCTTTGATTAAGACTGCAAAATATGGAATATGGTACAGCCTAAGTATATGCAGACATCTTCTCGTTGGTTGTTAATTAGGCGCCGGCCTAATTGTTCGAACGCAAAGCAATCTATTTATCTGTTGCACATTTTCAGAAAGGACTCACTGCTGAAGGAACATATGTGCTAACTAATCATGAGGAAATGAGATTATTTAATACCGGATTATGATTAGTTCCACATGTACTTTTAAAATGCATCTTAATTTTTAGATGGTGTTAATCTGCTGCTTGTTAATCTCCTTTAACTCTAATACCAGGCTCCCAAGAAAACTGGCACATGGTTATACCATACAATGGAAAATATAAATGGCCCCAGAAATTAGCTGCAGATAATGTGATAAGCTCCTGATGTGCCTACATGATTTGTCCTTTTCATGGACTATTTTCTTTGAAGGGACAAAAAAGGAAAGGTTGGATTTGTTCACACTCCACCCTTGAGGGTCTCCCCAAGATATATAAAATGTAAGTTTGAAGTCTTAATGTCATGACTCATGCGTCATAAATGAACAGACAATGGATCTGGTAGATAGCATTGTCATGTTCCCCTAAGGAAGACTGGGGATTAGGTGTTTGATTTGTAGTTATACTCATTAGCACAACTGAGACTGACAGTTAGGCCAGGCTAATTACATATGAAAACGGTTCTGAAGTTCTTAATCAAAAAGGAAACACGGTTAATCCCAGTATTTTAAATCGCTGCCGCGTAATGCACAATTAGGCCAGGCTAACAACATTTGAAAATGGTTCTGGACTTTTATGTGTCCTTTAGGGTGATTTAAAGCATGTATCAGCTGAAAACGTGTTCTAAATAATCATGATCAATGCACCTCCCCAAGTTGTTGAAGTTATTAATGAAATAGCAAAAGAAGAAAGATATAACAATGTGAAATGCGAGTAAGAGAAAGGATGATGTCGGTAGGAGAAAGCAAGACGATTAGTTTCCTTTTCATCATCCTGCTCATGGGGACCTAAAATTACATTTAAGATTGATCATATTTTTGGCCAAACCTTATAATGGGGGTAAAATTATCTCCCAAACATGATCTAGTTTCTCTATGGGTTGAAGATAAGATTTATTGAACTCTCGTCCCCACTGGATTAATATAGGCCACCATCAACACAACTGACAGTTCCCTACCCTTTGTTTTCACTTTCTTACTGCATGATCACAGTAAAAGTTTTCCAACTCAGAATTTTGGCAGCATGAAAATTACTTAGAATGATCACGGTAGGGTGTGATTGAAGATGATCTAAATTCTCCAACTCAGAATTTTGGCAGCATGAAAATTACTTATTCTCTGTTCAAATTGATGTAGTGGTAAAAAGTTCTTGACTAGCTTTTATTCACTGCTTCCCAATTTTCCTCCTCTGGTTATTTTGGCTGCATGGCTTAGCATGCCAGCCACTCACCATTGTTGACCTAGAAGGGGTAAATTTCAAACCAACCATCATCCAGTTGCACTGTCGAATTAAATGTGGAAGGACAATTTCATCACCCAGTTGGTACTCACTTTGCAGGCTTTTTATTATTTATTTTTTGTAATATGTGATTTAACTACTCACTTTAAATTGATAAAAGCACTTTTCTGGAAAGCCAGAATATGAGTTTGTGAAAAGGTACAGGCCTTTGAGAAAGTTTCACAGAACAGAACTTCTTGACCCTTCAGGAATACCAAGTAGTCTTATTGAGTTAAAATGCAGACTTGGTTGTTATCTTCAGAAAATACATCATGCTCCTTTCTGGATATAAATCTTTACCATATAACCTCTACATGGTTTTTTGATAGTTCTGAAATCAAATTGTGTTGAGAAATACATCAATCTCTGTGGCAATAATTACAAATGCAATATATTACTAAAGAAACTAATTGCTCACAAGGATAGTTCCTCACATAATGCAATTTGCAAAGTAATGGTGCTGCATAGAAAGAATATATATCCTCCAAAATGAGTGAACAGATAAAGCTTAGAAAAATATTCTTCATTTCGATCTAACCAATATCTGTACCTCTCTTGAAAGGATTGACCAATGTTATTTGCAGTCTTTTCAGTTCAGACATTGGCATCATCCAGGTCCAACGCCACCTACACGCACTGCATTCATAACCTCCTCAGATGTGACAAAGATTAGGCGTTCATCATTGATCCAACTAAACCTCTCCATGAAAGGGTTGACCAAAGTTGTTGGAGGGTACCTTTCTATGCAGTCTTTCCACACATTGGCATCATGCAAATCCCTCAACACCACCCACACACAATTATTGCACTCATAACCTGCACCAAAGCTCACCATCAGAATCTTGTCTCGCTTCTTAAGCCGCTTCTTGGCCTCCATGTATCCCAAAACATACCAAAGGCCACCGGAGGATGTGTTGCCAAATCGGTGAAGTGCCATTCGAGCAGGCTCCAGATCATAGTCATTGAGGCCTAAACTATTGCCAACCCCATTAACAACTGCACCTTCTGTAGGCGGTATGCAGAAGTGCTCAAGTCCAGCCTTGAGATTCAAACCTGTCCCTCCTGCTCCAACACCGCGGTGATGCTCAGCAACTTTGTTTTGGCGGCGAGACATGATCACATAGCGCAGCAATTCAGTCAGCGGCAGCACTTTGTGCACCAGCACTCTCAGGTTCATAGTAAGAGCTTTGGCAGCAACTTTGGCTATGCTTTTGCTGAGACTAAAACCCCTGAACCCATGTTTATCTTCTACTTGTATGGAGCAGCCATAGCCTTCATCACTCGAACCAAGATGGGTTCTTACAATGCATTCCAATTTCAAGAGGGCTCTGTGCTTGAGAGCCTTGTTGTTTGTGAAAAGCATAGAACACCCTCCTGACCGGTAAAGACAGTTAGCAAGAATCATAGGCTTCACTTTGCCGCGGTACCAATTTGGACCAAGGGACTCTGTGCTCACAACAACAGCATGTACATTCTTGTATGTCTTGAACAAGTTCTGCACAAGATCAATGGCCACAAGGCTCCCACTGCAGCCCATGCCAGAGAGGTTGAAGGCCTTGATATCCTTCTTCATCTTGTAATGGTTTATAATCCTAGCCGTTAGAGAAGGCGCAGGGGAGAAGAGTGACACATTGACAACAAGTATGTCGATTTTCGAAGGTGAAATTCCTGTTTTGTCAAACAGCTTGTCAAGTGTGACAGAGAATATATCATCCATCTCCCACAGTGCATCTTCCAAGCTAGGGCAATCTTCGCGGCCAGCAATGACATTTCTTGGACCGTAAGTCTCTTCCCCGAGGCCCGAATTGACAATAGTCTTGAGGAGAAACCTGTATTCTTCTAGGCCAAGGTTCTTGTTCCGCTGAATGATTTTGACACAGGACTCAGTGTCGAGTTTCCTGTCATCAGTGGCCTTGTAGCACTCATAGGCCAGCAAGTAGCATTGTTGGTTCCTCCATTGAAGAACCAACTTACAGAGGTAGACACAAGCACAGAACAGAGGCAATAAACACATTGCCATTAAAAGCTCCATGAAAATGGAGAGAAAAAGCTGAGAGATTTTTACTTGGTTCTACTTGTGTGTGGAAACTAGTGCCACTGCACAGTACTTTATACTATAAATTGTGGATTATAATTTGGAACTCTTTTTTATTATCTAAACAACATCAGATGTGACATGTGAAAGCTCACATTTGCAAATTTAAGTCGAATTAATGCTTGATGAAGTTAATACATATTATCTCTCCTAATATTTTGGACAAAATATTAATTATGTTGTACACCTTGTGTATAATTGTTGCTAAAAAAATGAAATTAAAAACATTAGTATAATTATTAATTAATTACGCTGTACATATGCATAAATTTTGTCGTGATGATCGAAAAGATCCAGCCTGTAAGGAGAGTTGGGTGTGAGTGAAGTAAAGGCCTGTGATGCAGGAAAGACACCATAAACCAATGGGCCAGCCTTTCCATTTATATCATCAGAGCCGTACGTGCTCATTATGAGACTCTTGAACATGTGGGCCTCCAAGTCCTAGGGCTTTTTCATTTTGTGGGCATCTTTCTTTCTTTCCTTTATTTTTCGATTGGAACCCTAACCCAGCCTAATTCAAGTTACTTTCTCGTAATAATACGTAAGTATCCTCACGGATATTAGTTTAATTTTAATTTTTGTCAATTTGTGTATGAGCCGGCTACATGCAAGAGTATTATGATGCTTTCATATTTATTTCATTGTTTGATATGAAAATTCACGATTCAATAAAATGGACACGAAACGACCAATATACTCATACACAAAATAATAGAAATTAAAGAGCTTATTAGGGTTGGCGAAGGATGAAGAGCGCAAGGTTTTTGTTAACAAAACTAGTACTACATTACTTATATTTGAATATAAAATTCAGTAAATTAATCTTACATTCCTCCCTTATACAATAGTTAAAAAAAATTGCATTTTAAAGAGTTTCACTAATGACTTTTTTTAAATGGCAACGACATGTATAAAGAGTGATTTAAGTGAGAAATGTAGAATTGTACTTGAGGAGGCACTATTAAAAAAAATGCATATTTTTTTCTCCATTAAAAAAAAAGGATGTAATTGGGAGTAAACATTAGACAACGGTAAAAAAAAATATATATTAAAAAAAAAAAAAAGGGGTAAATCAGTTTGCTGTTGTGATCCGCACGTTCGTTTTTAGGTAATGTCGTAACCGCCAGATTTAACTAACGACTTCATACACAGGTGCCCAATAGAATTTGATTTCAGACACAGGAAGACACGGACATGGCTTCGCTACCGTACGCCGACGTGGATTTCAGCTTGAGAGCATTGTCCGGTAGGGCCGAGGGCTTCGGCCGGTTCGCCATCGGCGGCCTCCACGGGCCGCTCTATTTCGTCACCACTTTGGCAGGTTCGTCTGGTTTTACTTCTTGGCCATTTTTAAAATCATTTAGGTCAGTGATTGTGTAGCAGTCAAATTTCAATATGGATATCATATCCCATGCTTGATATTGTGTGGGGTTTTGTTTCTGAGCAAAATTTAATGTGGGGTTGGAAGAAACTGTCTCACATGGCTGGAGAAGGGACCAGATTGGCTGGAGCCTGGATCCCATAGCTGTTTTTTTAACTTCTCATTGATGATATTTCAGGCTTTCTACCCCCAAAAAAAAAAAAAAATTGGAAAAATGGAAATTTTGAACATTTTATAAACAGCTGCTAATGAAAAAGAAAAATTGGATTTGGATTTGTGGAGGTGATAATATCACTATTACATTTCTGAGAAATTTGGTTGTTTCTATGAAACTTTATATTAGGTCTGTGAGTTTTGTTTATTGGCTGGATGGAAATTCGAAATCTTTCCATGTTGCATTTGGGATAAATAAAATGTTATGTTTTGGTATTCAGATGATGGTCCAGGCTCACTTCGTGAAGGATGTCGAAAACAAGAACCACTGTGGATTGTCTTTGAGGTTTCTGGCACCATTCACCTTTCGTCTTACTTGAGTGTGTCATCTTATAAGACAATTGATGGACGAGGCCAGAGAGTAAAGCTCACAGGAAAGGGCCTTAGACTGAAGGAATGTGAACACATAATTGTCTGCAACCTTGAGTTTCAAGGCGGTAGAGGACATGATGTTGATGGCATTCAGATAAAACCGAATTCTAGGCACATTTGGATAGACCGATGCAGCCTTCGTGATTATGATGATGGACTCATAGATATCACCAGACAAAGTACAGATATAACTATCTCTAGGTGGGTTTAATCTGATGTGCCTTATAGGATCTAAATGTGGATACTGAGATAATGTATCTTATGATTTCTTCTTTCCTTTGCACCAGATGTTACTTCGCACAACATGACAAGACAATGCTTATTGGAGCAGACCCCTCCCACGTTGGCGATAGATGCATTCGGGTGACAATTCATCATTGTTTTTTCGATGGGACAAGGCAAAGACAACCTCGCCTTAGATTTGGGAAAGTTCATCTTTACAACAATTACACTCGAAACTGGGGTATATATGCTGTTTGCGCCAGCGTAGAATCCCAGGTAACTGAGGCCTCTTTAATATCTTTTCATTTCAATATCTCCTTGATATGTTGAATTTATTCTACATATTCTAATTACATTTTTTATATCAGATATACTCCCAATGCAACATATACGAAGCAGGAAATAAGAAAAAGACTTTCGAATATTATACAGAAAAGGTACATAACCATCTCTCGCTCATTTATCGTTAGTTTGGTATTAATCTGTAGAATGCAGGTTCATTACATCCACAATACTATTCAATTCTGAGACAGGGTACAGTGATGCCACAATCATATGCGTTAGTTTAGAATAATGTACAAGTCTTTGTAAAAGAACCTAGAATTAGTAATATGTCGCACATGCTTTTGTGAGTAAGATATTTATTTACACTAAAAATAATATAAGCTACATGTGTAAGTTCTTTTTAAGTAAAAAATGGTTACAACTTGCATCCCATTGTCTGTGAAGACACTCTGTCTTAAATGCTTGCAATCTTCCAACAGGCAGCAGACAGAGAAGAGGCAAAATCTGGCTTCATAAGATCTGAGGGCGACCTATTCCTGAATGGAGCTCAACCATGCGCATTAACAGGGTTCAATCAAGAATGCATGTTCCATCCAAGCGAATTTTATTCACATTGGACTATGGAAGCCGCCTCAGATTCTCTTAAAACTATTCTCCAAATTCTTACAGGTTGGCAATCCATTCATAGGCCGGCAGAGCAGGCGCAGGCGGTAACTGTATAGCTTTTTATTATCACACATGTATAACAGGATTTTATAGATCCTGTTACAGAATATGCTTTACTTCTGTTTTAATTTTGTTTAAGCTGAGTGAATGAACTCCAAATTCGCTATCTTTTTATTGTAGCTTAAAGGAGTAATCCATCAATTATGATAAGTATTCCATAACACACATACGCGTGTATACATTTACTAATGCTTGTTATCATGCATGCATATATGGATCCTATAGATGACTGTATTTCCAGAGTATTCATGTTAGGCAAATATATATCTTGTGATTTTCTATGCGCGTGTGTGAACTTTAGGCTAAATATTATATTTCCAGAGTAATCATATTAGGCTAAATAAGTACATTAAAAAGATTTAGGCTTAAAACCCATTTGAGTTTATTTAAAATGGCTTAACACCTTTATAATTTGCAATTGTTTGACTTTGTGTAGCATCACCTAATTAGTTTTGTTTAATATTTTCTGTTTGGAATATCAAGCATTCAAAAATAGACATCCTTTTATATGACCATCATTTGGTTTAAATAAAAAAGTTTGGTAAACTTCCAAAGTGATCTGTAGCGACCAAGCGGGCAATATGTGAATGAAGGGATAGCAGTACAAAATAATGTCATTAATTTGTGTATAACCGACTATATGATTCCCTATATTCTAATCATAGAAATAACTTGAAGCTTGAGAAAGTCGGCAGTTCTTATTCTCACAGTATCATGCACCAGCCATCAAAATGGTACAGTTTGTATTGTCATAGCACTGCATCATTTTAGATGGGGAAGCATCTCTGAGAAGGCACCAATGAAGATGAAGTTGTAGAACTAACTGACGCGGAAGTCCCGTGGAACAAATCAGACAAGTAATTCCCCAAGTCATTTGGTGAAATTCTTACCAACAACTCCATATTTTTCTCCCCACTTAGCATCACCATGTATGTGTCGTAAAATTCTTGATAGGTTGGTACTAGTTTCTGTGAAATTGACACCTTCAAGTTATCCCTCAACTTCCTATCCTCTACAATCCAGGATGTCTGTTTCCTATATGCCTCTTCAAACGCTGTGTTGAACTTCCTAAAACACTCCTTTGCCATTTCAGGAGATATGTCTGCTGACCTCTCTGGTAATGATGATAACACCTTTGTCCAAGCTGTGGTTTCGTAGTTTGAAGCATACTGTTTAACCTTCTTCATGTGTTCAGATACCCAATCTTCACCGAGGAGGAGTTTCAGGTTGGGTGTGTTGTTCACCTTCTCAACAATGAAGTGAAGATTGTTGGCAAGGAAGAGATATGACAAAGACACATCTTTATAAATCTCAGCTTTGATGTCAAGCTTGCACAAAAGGACTAAAATGAGCCAAGCTAGGTGGACTGACACTTCTGGTGTTGAACAGTCATCTGACACTACGCTTTTGAATTCTTGAAATGATGAATTCCCTGGTGGTGGATGGTCAGCAAGGATATCAGAGAGAACTCCATAGTAATCTGCCAGTGAAGATACATAGTTCATCACTGATTGGGTCAGTGGGTGAATCCCGCCTCCGAAAACTAGAATCTTTGATGAGTCCTTTTGAATTGTTGATTCGAAGTCGGAAAGAATGGTCCGAACAGAATCTGAAAGTTTGAGCCATGATGAAAGAGCTTGCAGCTTTATAGCTTGGGTTGATTCAGAGTCGAATATAGATTCAATCTCCGGCCAAAGATCAGAGACTGCTTCATAGATTTCCAGTTGCCAGAAAATTCTTTCTGGGCCTTTCTTGTTCTTCACAATGAGTTCAGGAAATCTGAATAGGGTGGTGGCTCCTTCTTTGGTTATCTCATAGAAGCATGACTCTTTGATATTCTCAGATGCTGAAAACACATGATCGCAGAGATATTTTTCTCCACGAAATAGTGCTTTCACAGCAATCTTTACAGCATCCATCCAGTTCCTGAGTATGCTTTCTAGTCCTTCCGGATCCATTTTATGAACTTGTGGAGATTTGAACTGTTGGATTCCAAGGCGAAACAATCCTCCATCCACTATTGACTTCCGGATAATTTTGTATATCTTCACACACTCTATACCATAGCCAGAACTGATCATACAATCAGCTATTGACTTCAGGTCTGACATGGCAAATGCTGAGGCTCTCTCAACCTCTGTGATTGACTCACCAATAATTTCCATCTCGTCTTCTGATCCAGCCTCATCTGCATTATAAAATTTGGCTGATCCTGAGGATCGACTTGAAACCGATTCAGGGTCAAGGTGATCCCGGTTTGCAGACAATATCTGGTAAAACTCTTTTTCAAGCCTTTTCATCGCTGTTTGCATTAGATTTTGAGCAAGTACAAGCTTGCTGGATAAGTTTCCATTAGCTAAAACATGCATAGCACTACGCAAGTAGTTTACGGATTTGAGGAACTCTTTGGCTTCTTTTCTGCTATGCTGGAACAGAAAAGTGATTTTGGTGTATGAGGAAGAGTTTGGATCCCATTTGGTGATGATGGATTCAGCAATTGCGATGTTTTCTTCCATCATCAGTAGAGAGAAGGTGCGGGAAGGGGCTGAAGCAGTGCAAGAGCTTGAAAGTGAATATGAAGAAGAAGAGTTGGTTTTGGTAGATTGGAAGAAAAAGCGGCTTGGCGTTACTTTTCTTGGTGTGAGTGTAGTAGCACCACTCTTAGGGGTCACTGATAGCATCATTGAGCCTGGAAAGGGTGCTAAGATGGAGAAGAAGAAGAGCTTGTAAGCTCAAAGATGAGAGAGAGAGAGAGAGAGCTCACTGCCTGTTTTTCTTGGTTATGGTGGTTTGGCTTTGGAAGTGTTTTATAGAGGAGAGCCGTTGGTTCCCAATTGAGGGAGGTGGATGTGCTTGGAATTTTAGACTTGACTGGCTCTGGCAAACAGTCTACGTGTCCCACTGGATAAAGACCCAAATAAATCAATTTATATTTTATAGTAGCCATTCTAATTTTAGCCTGGTCAAGCAATTTTTTGCATTGAATTTTCTTGGTTTCATATAATAAAGATCATATTCAATGAATGCGTCATGGTCAGGCTGCAGCCTTGCAGCGCCACTTCATATTTCTGCAGCTGATCTCATTCTTAGTATTAATATAAATATCGTCATCAGTATAAACCGGCTTGACAAGAGAGATGACATCCTCCAAAATGCAGGGTAGACTCGACTAGGAAGCAACCTGGAAACAGAGGATTTGGGGTTAACTAATGAAACTGTTTCTCTCTCAAGGACTTCGAGCAACCTGGACTTGTAAACCCTTTTTCTTTTTTGCCAGTTCCAGAGTCTTCCAAACTAGGACAAAAGTGACTGACTTGATAGACTTGGGATTGCTTTGCTTGCCCTCTTCTTCTTCAGAAGACAAATGGATGCTTCTAAATTGGCTCCTTCCTCAAAGTTATTATAGAAAGCCACACCCAAATTTCGTGCTCCCAGTCTTTGGAAAAAGCAAGACCGACCCCATGTAAATTTGGTAAAGAACCACTGGCTATGTACGTAAGCTGCTGCCTCCAAAAACGCATGCCAATTCATGTTTCCTTTGAACAATAATTGCATTGTTTTTATTCAAATAATGAAATCCTAATTAACTTGATGTCAAGTAAGCAATTGCGGATGCACAAACTCTTTGTTGTGCACCATGTTATAGAGAAAATGTTAAGAATGATAGTGTACGTGGATGTCACGTAATATACGTGAATCTCACAGTGAATCCCACATGCATTTACGACTGACAACCATAAATAAAGAATTTAAAAAGTGTCATTATATGGATCGAATTTGTTGACTGCATCTCTAATAAAGATAGATTCATCTCTTCACACATGAACCTTATTCAGATGAGTCCCGTCTCGAGAGGTCATCACTAAATATGATACAAGTGTACATATTATGGGTTTGGAATGTTCTTCATTATTGTGATAAGCTGTCAATTAGCTAGGTAGAGATAAGCTTATCATGACTAGTGAACAGAGAACTGGGACAATGTTGAAACTAATAAGAGCAACTCCAGCGCCCAACTCAAACTGCGTGAAAGGCTGCCAGGGCGAGCCCGAGATGGCTCCAGCGCAGGGCCCGTAGCCCGGTTTCATGGTGGGTCCCAGGAGCCCGAGGAAGCCCAAGGGCAAGTCTTGCCCGGGCTGAAGCCCGAGTCTGGTGACGTCAGCGCTGGCATCAAGCTGACGCCAGCGCACGGTAACTCAATTTTTTTTTACCGTTGTACACGCGCCAACGGTAAAAAAATTTGACTTCCGTGCGCTGACGTCACCACCTGACAGCCTCCAACGGGCGTTTGCCACGTGGTGCGACAGGGACTCTCGGATGGCTTTTTTCCAGAAATCCGACGGTTCGAAAAAATTCTGAATTTTTTTTTTTAAAAAAACCCAAAAATTCTGTATTTTTTCTCTATAAATACCTAACCATTTTATTTACTTTCCACACTAAATCTTCATATAATTTCTTCTCCATCCAATATTTTTTACTCTCCACGTGGCACAATTTTAGAGGATGAAAATCTTATCTAAAATCTGAGATTATAATTTTTTTAAAATATCTGAAAATCTTATCTGACATGGGACACGTGGCACAATTTTAGAGGATGAAAATCTTATCTAAAATCTGAGATTATAATTTTTTTAAAATATCTGAAAATCTTATCTGACATGGGACACGTGGCACAATTTTAAAGGGTGAAAATTTTATTTGAAATTTGAGATTATAATTTTTTTTTAAATATCTGAAAATCGTATCTGACATGGGATACGTGGCACAATTTTAGAGGGTGAAAATCTTATTTGAAAATTTAATTACAAAAGATTATCAAAATTAATGGTTTAAAGTATAAAAAAATAGGAAATAAAGTACAATGAATAGTAATTGCCTTAGACTTTGCCTTCATGGGTGGAACCACAAATGCAAAGGCTGACACCATTCACGTGAATAGTGGCAGCCCTTGCTTGCCCTTACCTTAGACTTAGCCCTTGTGGGTGGAGATGTTCTAAGTACGTAATGAAATGAGGGGTTTGGTGGTTTGCATCTAGAAACCTAATTTAAACACTTGCATTTTTCATACCTAGAAAAAGAGATGCATTTTCCTTAAACTAGACAATAGCAATTGGTGGGTCTTCCCCCAATAAAGCCAATCAAACCTAATAAATTCGAAATTGCAATGCAATTCTCATGGCTCTCTCTTTTCTCTCTTTCCCACTCTGACGGGTTTTGCCCATTATATCGTTATTTGGTAGTTACTAGTTAGTCTCTTAAGATGCATGCACGAGTCCTCATGACCAAACGGCGAAAATGACGGGAGCCTTGGATCTTAATAAGCAATAATAATGCTTACCAATGTTGGCAAATTGCACCACTAATCTCATCCACCCAATATTTTTTGAGGAGACTAGAGAGACCTCTACAAACTGACATTTATGCGTTTGTTTGAATAATGAATTATTAATTCATGTGTTATAATATGCGTGTTGTTGTGTTATTCGTGTTGATTGTCTTCTCAAGCCTCTCACCCTATACATACATGAGCCAAATAAGAGAGAAAAACGCAGTTTTAAATGCACATCCATGTATTGCACAAAGTCCAACGACCAATTCAAATACTAATCAGAAATTTGTTTTAATTTGACAAAGGGTTATTATCCTTTGATTATTCCTAAGAATTTGATGAGAAATAATAACAAAGCTGTAGCTGTCGTTGAATGAGAGACTACATATATATAACTACCAAATTTAATTGGTCCAGAAGTATGAAAAGGTTTTGGTTGTTAACAATTCGAATCTTTGAATAAAAAGTACAGCTCAAGACTTAGTGGACATTCGAGAGGTTTATACACAAGACGAGCAACAAACTGAAATGGACCGCCACAGATGAAGACTTGGAAGCAATGTGATGCTGCTGATGGAAGCAACAAGGCCTTTAAATCAGTATGATGACGTGTAGCCATTTTTATTTTGAGGGAAGAGAACAAAAACAGGGTTCCATTGTAATATAAAAATGAGGTTGAAGACAGAGCAAAGAAAAGGTCGAACGCCGCAATAGAATGTCAATGATTTTTTTTGGAGGGATTTAGTCTAAATTATGTGGGAGGGGGTTTTTACACACAAAATTAGGATGTCGTGGAAGTTTGAACTTGAGACCTCTAGCCTGCACATCAATATACTTTTTCACTCGGCTAGAGCCTGTTGACATTAATACACTAATTGTAAGGCTGTGATTCTAAGCCAAGTTTTATTTTTATATTTATTTTTTTATGAATAAGTCAAGTTTCATCAAAACAAATCTCAGTTTTTCAATACATATGACGTGTCAGATATTGCTAAAAATAAATTAAATCAGTAAGTTGAATCGGATGCGAGAAAACAAAAACACCGTCAAGTCATTTGACATTAAATAAATAAATAAAAATTTGAGTGCTTATTTTTCTTGAAACTTTGTTTATGTTTCTTTATCTAATTAATACCCCCAAAAAAAAAAAAAAAAAAAAAAAACCCCAACCCAAAACCAACGTTTAATTGTTCAGATGGCACAAACTATTGAGAAGCATACCATATGTGCTAACTAATTTTTTGTCCAGAATAATTCGTAAGCAGTGGACAAAAAAATACTACAGATAAATTGTTTGACTTGCCTTGAAGAAATTAGTTAACTGGAAATGAATTATAAATTAGTTGAATGAACAGCCACGCCACAGAACAGGGATCGTTCATCCCATCCCATTTGACTTGTTCTTATATTTATTTAAAGTTTGAAGTAGGCAGCCATTCAATTTTAAAATGAAACATCCATTTCAAGGTTTAAAAATGGCGGGTTTTGATGTCACCCAAAACAAACCGCGATTTTCCTATTAAAATTTGGTCAAACAAACTAGGAACAAACCTTCCCAACTTTTTTTTTTGTTTCAGCACAAGATGGAACGAGGAACACTTACACCCATAAACCAAAGGGCCCAAACGTAGTCTAACAACAAGACTAGAAGCCCAATGACACAAGCCCGCCAAAAGGTTACATGCCTAAGAATCCCAAAAAATCAAGAGTGAAATAAACCGAATGTTAAATACTGAACATTCACAAGAGATGCAGCAAATACAGCCTCAGAGATTTCTGGCTCCTCGACGATAGAGGCAATGTAAGGAACTTAACCTACATCTGAATGTGAAAGTGGTGGAAAACTGAAAACTAGCAACAGGGGATGCAGCCACAGCTGCAAGACCAAATCTCTTGGCATCAGTAGCAAGTGCCAAGGTTTGAAAACACTGGCACTTCTCACAGAACTAGAGTATTTCCAATCTAAGATCAAAGAGCATCAACACTTTACTGGTAATTTAGAGACAAGCACAACAGACATTGATCATTTGAAATCCCGCCAGGATCTTTTTACGTGTATGACAAACTTGTAATCAATTCGACAGCTGACAGTGTACTAAATTAGTGATCATCTATAAATATAACAAAGGAAATAGAGATCTCATAAAACAAATCTAGTGTAAGAACAGCACTGGAAATGCTTTCAATTGGATGATTTTCAGAATAAACCTAGTTCAGGCCGAAGAATGGGAATGAGACATCACATAGACACACCCCGATGCCAAACAAAGCCTTAAGCCAAAGCAGCCAGCCAAATGTCTCCCAAAACAGATTAACTAAACCGAATGAAATGTAAAAATAAAGATGGCCAAATGCTTTCAGTAAATCAGCCAATATAAGCAGGGAATAATGAGCTCAAGTCATTTATCAAACACGAACAGAATCTTAACTATCATTGTACCCAAAGAAAATTAAGTTGATTTGGGCAAGAAGACATGCCTCCCCAAACCTAGACAAGTAATTAAACATCAAAATCTCAGGTCTAATTTCTTAATCAAAAGTAAATCCAAAACTTGTGAACAAAAGGATTCTATTACAGCAAGGTACCAAGATGATCTAACGTAATTGATCCAACACTCTATGCCTTAATGGCATACTTCCTCAAGGGATAATACATTTCCTTCTTCTTCTCCCTCTCGGTCTTCAAAGATGCCTGTGCAAACAATAGCATAACAAAATCACACCCCAACACAATGAACTGGGCACTACAGTTTTTCGTTGAAATTACAAAATCCAATGCATATAATACAAAGGTTCATAATATATGTTGGGTTCAGTGCTTAATGTGCTAGAACTTCAGCTAAACTATAACAAACAGTTGCATCAAATGCCAGTACAGACTGGTTCATCAAAAAAGTTGAAGTACCTGGTGCTTGGTGAGCCTTCGGCGGATAGCTCTGGTCTTCTTGGGACGCAGATCAAGAGGCAAGAACTTCTTGTTCTTGTACACTTCTCTCAGGGCAGACTTTTGCTTCTGTGATATCACAGTCAACACTTGGGCAATCGATAGCCTGACAACCTTGCTGCACAAACATACACACCAAAATTTAAATGCAAAAATCACTGAGAAAACAAAAACACAAAGACAAATAGGGTTTTGTTAGTTACATCTTGGAGAGCTTGTTGGGTGCTCCACCAGTGACCTTGGCAACGCGAAGAAGAGCAAGCTCTGCCTTGAGATCCTTGAGCTGGTTCAAAAGCTCAGCCTTTGTTTTCTGCCTCAACTCGTGTACCTTGATTCTCGCTGTCACATTTCACAAAAAACAAACAAAGATCAGAGAAAGCGACGATTTTTTGGTACGAAACACAATCAAGGATATAAACTGGAATTACCCATTGCTGTGTTCTGTGAGTTCTGCAACGGCGGCCCTCTCTTAGCTTCACGGGAAAATGAAACCCTAACTATGAGTGTTCATGGGTTTAGTGGGTTTATATATACCCCAGCTTTATGGACTTTTAGATTGAGTGAGATTGGGCTATGTTGATTTGGGTTCTGAATGTTTTTTTATATCGCGAAGTGTTTGTCCACACAAACAGGCACTAGTTTGGCCCAATTATTCATGGAGCCCATCAGCCTTGGTAATACTATCAATGGGTTGAAACTTGCCCATAAGTCTTTTTTTATTTAAGCCCATAAGGCTTGAGGAGGAGGAAGATTATGAGGACCTGGCGTTAATCCTATTAATGCAGCCCATTCTTCTTTGATGAACTTGTGGGGCGGAGGAAAGGAAATTAGATATTTTCAGACCGTGTGTGGAGCTCGTCTACTGGGATTTTTTTTTTTCAATGGCTTTTTCTATTGAAAGGCGATAATATACTCACACATACTACACATTAATGCTAAGATTCAAATCCACGAGTCCATGACCTTTTTTGGGAGGAAGCAATTGCTCCAAATCACTACACTAGTGGGTCCTTTGCGGCTTTTATCTCTTTGTTTCTAGTTATATCAAATACTTAATTAATTCCATGGCAAAAAAACATCACTGTAAATTGTAATAGCGGCAAACCTTGCATATGCAGTGTAAAAAAGGTTGACAAATGATAATTTAAATAACAAGGGATGCCATTGAAATCGTATGGTCACTTTCATTTCATATCAATCTATATAAGTCTATTCCAGATGCAGATATCCATTGATAACGATATAAACCAAACCCATAATTCATAGCCTCTCTAAAGCATAGCTGCAATGGATAGTGATAAATGCATGTTTAAATTACTCAAAACAAGTTGATTTTGGAAATCTTATTTTGCAATAATGCCAACAGATTCCTTCTAATTGGCCTGACTTTGCAAACCATGACATAATCCACACGCATTCCTTCTAATACAATAATGCAAACCCGCATGAAAGTGATACCTGCTGAAAAGAAATATACTGGAAAGGAAATTTGAGTAATTTGCTCCGTATTTTACTCTGATCAAAACTCTACCATCAACATGTTCACAGCTCTATGTTGATTGCAAATATCTTTAGGAATCTTTCCAAGTAATCTGGCACCATTGTTTAGATAGTATTTTCTCGTACACGTTTCAAATAATAAAAAGATGGTTTTTAAGCAATAGACTTGTTGCTCGAGTAGGTAAAAGCATTCATTCGTACACTTGAGAGGGATTTTGAGTTTAATTCCCTTCCTCGAGATACCATTTGTTTCAAAAAGATAAATGCTTCTTCTACACTTTGAGTAAGATAGTGATAACATATAACAAGTGATACATATCTAAGATATGATTACGCTTCATTTTTCAGATACAAGGAGGCCAAAGCCAAGACGAAACACGAAGAAATGACTAACAAATTACAGCCCTCTCAAGGGCCCTTCTAGCACATCGTCCAATAAGATGTTTGAAATAGAAGTCGGAGCATACTCAAAATTATGAAGCCCAAAAGGTAATTCATACCCCAAATTAACAAGGTGGTCATGTGAACATGAGAAATCTTGCAACTCCAATCACAGTTTAGCAGCAACTTGTAATCTTCAATTAGACAAACAAGGGGTGGGATTGGTCAGGCACCTTGGCCATTAGAGAAACAACAGATAAAAAGTCGCGTTCAACATCAAGGAACCTAATACTCTTATTCCACGCCATTTGCAATCCTTTAAGGAGACTCCATAACTCAGTCTCAACAATATTTCCAATTCCAATATTAACAGAAAACCCACAAATCCAAGAACCAAGTGAGTCCCTCAACACACCACCTGCAGTGATCTTCCAAGAAATAGTTATGCTCCATTGACTATGAGGGAAAATAGATTTAGACAACCATTAATGTTCTAAGCCCAAGCTGCGGATGTCACCTCAGTCCAAAATGCCGACCCTCTTCAAATTATTAATCAGAATGATAAGATAACTATTATTACAGTGAGAATATATCATCATCAGTACTTAAATACTGGAACCACGACATCTAACTTCGAATTAAATAGGGTGCCACTATATGAGTCTATATCTTCTTCTTCGATTGCAATACTTGACTAACAACAGCACCATTTGTACCTTTTCTCCATGTCTCCATTTCTAGGGTTTAACAGTAAAAAGTTCAGCGTTCCTTGCATTGTTTCCATGTCTCCATTGTAGGGTTTACAAATTACAAGCACATAACCAACGAAATAGAACCAAAAAAAAGCTATCTGCCTCCCCCTATGCAGGCGAAGGCCATGCATCTTTTTTGGCTTAAATTCTTTTTTTTTTTTTTTTGGGGGTCCAATTTATACTCAATTTTTTGTTTTGTATGTTCTGAAAATAAATTGCTCACATGTTTGTCCTTTAATTCGTGGGAATTGGATGCCTGCCTCACTGCAACCGCGTTGACAATTTCTTTTATTCATAACTCTTTTATTTATTTATGGAAAGTAAAATTTTATCCATGAAATAATAAAACTCAGAAGGCTCAAAGGTGTGCGACCAAACAAAATTAGAAATAAAATAAAAAGAAGGGTCAAAGGTTGCATACTGTACATATATAATAATTGCACGTCGGTCCAAAATAAAAAGAAAGGCAGGTGCTCGTGGAATTCATGATCCGTGTGTGTGCCTAGTCAAAAGCATCGAAATAATAGAAACGTCTCTTTTTGACCCCAAACATTTTAGAAATTATTGCTAAAAAAACAATTTAGAAATAACATTTCTCATCAAATATGGTAAGTATATGCATTCGGAGAAGGAGACTCGAATTTGGGTACAAGGAAACAGTGCACCTAACCCACTTATACGGTATGAGAATTATTTTAGCACCTAAAAAAGAAGAAAAAATAATATGGCAATGGAGACAAAGAAGACGGCAATGGAGATTTATCTCTCTAGTCCCCTAAATTGACCAGAAAAATCAAAAGAAGAGGAAACTATACTTCCAGAAAAGGTGACCGGGACATGTTGTTGCAATGCAGAAAATTGATCTCCTCCTGCCCCCATGTCATCCATTTGTCAATTTGAGGTGTAATCCGGGCTCCTCAAACAGGTGCAAAAATAAATACAGTCAATATCTCTTTTGGGTTTGTTTCTTTTTGTTAGTATATAATTAATGTCTCTTGCCAACTAAATGACATGCCCTTGTCATAATAATTAAAAAACAATACCAAAAAAAATAATTATAATTATTTATATTTTATTTTATGCAAGAATTATTAGCAACAGGGATGAACCCAGGATTTTAAAATAGGCTGAGCTAAATTTAGGTACTAAGTAGATACAAAACTCAACAATACCATGTGATTTCATTGATAACAAAACAAAAAACAAAACAAAAAAACAAAAATTAAAGCAAGAACAATAAAATCAATTACAAATCCTATTTGATAATTCATAACTCATAAACTGAAACTGATGCCCTAATTGCAAATCCTAATTCATAATTCAATAGTGTCAATTGCAAATCCTAATTGATACTTCATAAACTCCAAAAAAAAATCTCAAATTAAAGCATCAATAAATTGAGAGAAGCTTACATGGCGAATGGTTCACTTGAATTAAGTCTTGAAGGTGAGTGCAGTAGCAACAAGAGCATTCTTTTCTTTTCTCTACATGCAAGGGTAGGGTGGTTTTTTTTTTTTTTTTCCCTATATGTGTTGTGCATGAGTTATTTTTTTATTTTTATTTTTTGTTGGTGTTGTGTTGTGTGTGAGTTCTCACATTGACTACGTGTTGTGCAAAAAGGAGAACTAAATGAGGTTAGGTTATTTAAATTGGGTGAGCTAGGATTTTATTTTTTTGGCTGGAAAAAAGTAATCACTTGGGCTATAGCCTAGGTTTGCCAAACTAAAGGTCGGTCCCTGGGTGAGCTAGGATTTTATGTTTTTAGCTAGAAAAAAGAAGCCACCTGGGCTATAGCCCAAGTTTGCCAAACTAAAGGTCCGTCATGATTAGCAATCCAAATTAAGATGCTTAAATTGTTTGCACCAATTATTTTTATTTTTATCAACTTTTAGTATTATATTCCTAGGTTTGCCATACTAAAGGTCCGTCATGATTAGCAACCCAAATTAAGATGCTTAAATTGTTTGCACCAATTATTTTTATTATTATCATCTTTTAGTATTATATTAGCAATTGGTTTGTTCTAATTTGGTGCATAAAAGTAAGAGCATGTGAGGTTGTTTGTAAGTTACTAAAATGTTAGAATATAGGCTTACAACTATGGCGTGTCTGTCAGGTTGATGCTTATGCTATTTTCAGTCACGTCCATTATCTTCTTTCTTCTATTTTCCACTTCATAAGTTTTATCTGAACCTTATCAAAAAGTCCAAATATATAGGGTTTCCCAAGACAGGCAAAGCCAGAGTTTTCTATATAAACAAATATCAACTTCCCAATACTTCTCTCTAGTTGCCAACTTCCATCTGAATCTGGCATACATTTCTCTCATTCATACTCATAGCATTCTTCCTGATATCAAGCACTCTAACACATCATGGTATTTTATATCTCTCTCTCTCTCTCATCTTGGTTTTATGTATGGGCTTTTCTTATTGTTCTTTTCCAATTATTGCAGGCCTCTGATATGGAAGGTGTCAAATATGAAGAGGTTAGCCTTTAGTTCTGTTCTGTGCTGGGTTTTGATTTGTTTTTTGGCAAATATTGTTTCTGTGTGTGTGTTCTAAATCGATTCCATTCACTAATTATATATGCAGGAGTTCATCTTAAATTCTCGAGGAATGAAGCTTTTCACATGCAGATGGCTCCCAAAAAACACCACACCCAAAGCCTTAATCTTCATCTGTCATGGATACGCCATGGAATGCAGCATCACCATGAACAGTGAGTATTAAAATTAATCTTCACATATCTGTAAAATTTTATTGTATCTTTTCCCATCAAATTTCAACTCCAAACAAAAACAAAACAAAAAACAAAAAAAAAACCAACAAGAAAAATATATATAACCCTGATAATTAATTAACAGAGTTTCAAATTGTTTTTTTCCCAGGTACTGCAATCAGGCTTGCCAAAGCA